GCCCCGAGCGCGCGTCTCCCCGCCGCCCGCGCCCGTCCCCAGGCGCCCATGCGGGGGGCCTCCGAGGCCTGTTCCCCCATCGCCTCTCCCTCTGGGCGATCACCTCTCGGGCACCTGGGGACTCTACCCCTTTGGCTGCGTCGCCCCCTTTGGGCCAGCGGAGGCATCGCGCCGCCGGCGCCTCTGGGCGGGGACCGAGCGGCGCCCCTGCCGCAGAGCCTCCCTGGGCCGTGGGTCTGCAGTCGAGCCCGCGGTGCTTGCGTTAAGCAGCCCTCTCCAAGCCCTTTTGGTCAGGGACCCTGGATGTCAGCAGAGTGGACTGTCCTTCTTTGGCTGGAAGGGTTGCTGAGATCAAGTCTCACTGCACCCACTGCACAGAGGGGGAGACTGAGTCCTAAAGTAGGAGAGGGACTTGCTAAGGTCACCCAGAGTGTCATGGGCAGAAATGGGGCAAGGGCGCTAGGCCCTAGCCTCCTGCCTGTCACTTGTGGAACCGCTCCCCTCCCAGGCCTCTAGCCCGCCCCTTCCAGAGGGCCCTGGAAAGGGGACTGTCACCGGCAGCCTCACTGGGTACTGCAAAGCCTCACAGCAGGTCAACCACTTGGGATCACAGCAGCCTGGCTGACGAGGCGAGGCCAGGAAGTGGGGAACCCAGACCTGTGAAGCTACTGACGCCCCTGTGCTCGCCCACAGACCACAATGCTGCTGGGGGTGTCTCTTGTGGGACTGTTGCTGTTCTCCAAGCTGGTGCTGAAGCTGCCCTGGGCTCAGGTGGGGTTCTCCCTCCTGCTCCTCTATCTGGGGTCCGGTGGCTGGCGCTTTGTCCGGATCTTCGTCAAGACCGTCAGGCGTGATGTCTTGTGAGTACCTGGTCAAGCCCTTCCTGGAGTCTCCCGCACCTCCCTGGGCTCCCAGTCCCCAAAATTTCCCCAGATCAGACCTGTGGCCTCTGCCAGCGCAGGGTACTGGGGCCCAAAGCAGCAGGCTCTTCTGCATACCCTTCCCCTGGCTCTAGTACCTCCATCTCCAAGGTCACGGTCTCCTCCTGGGGAATCTCCCTAACTATGCGCTCCTTAGCCTAGGGCAGACTTGGGGGCCTGGGATGTAGCAGGGAACACCAGATGTGTGGAGGAGACATCTGGAAGGGGTCCCGAGGACATGCTGTGGCTTATGAGAAGGTGACAAGGACCCTGTAGGGAAGGTCCCGTCCTGGGGTTGGCATTAGTCTGAGAGGGCACTGAGTTCAAGAGCAGGGCCCCGAATCAGATGTCTGGGGGAACCTGCTTCCCAGAGAATGTCAGGTGTGCTCCATAGGGACATCCTGGACCAGAAACACCTGCTGCCACCTTCTCGGTGCCAGGTGCCAGGCTCAGGCCTAGAGGGGAGCAAGGCAGACCTGGTTCCGGGCTGAGCTGGGACTGGTCAGGGAGCTAATTAGCAGATACAGTAATTCCCTAAGCTGGCAGTGCCATGTGGGCAGAGATGCTGACAGTCTTGGTCACAGTAGTGTCCCAGGGCCCAGCACAGTGACCCACGCCCAGAACAGGCAGCTCAGCATTTGTCAATCTGAGTCGATTGCAAAAGGAAACACCCAGTGGCCCCTGCAGAGGGTGGCAGCACAGGGAGCTGTGGGAGCAATGGCTCCAGGCCGGGGCCCTGAGGAGTCAGGGAAGGCCTCCTGGAGGAAGAGTAGCTGTTCTTGAGATACCTCAAGGTGGCGGGATTGCAGCGTGTAGCATCAGCAAAGGCGTAGAGGCTGGGAAGCTGGGAGAGGTCAGCGGTCCGGCGGGGCAGGGCAGGAAAGTGGGGTTAGGCCAGCAATTCCACAAACACGGGCTGAGCCTCCCTGAGCTTGGCACTGAGCAGGGCCCAGAGGACAAGGTGGGAAACAGGATGGAGCCCTCCCCTTGCTGGGCTCACAGAGACGAAGACTGGACAGATCGCAAGCTCACCTCTCATTTATTGGGCAGTGTTGGGGGAGGTGTGGCATGGCGCTGTGGGAGGCCCCGACAGAGGCCGTGACTTGGGCCCTGAAGCCCCGGGAGGCCCTGACAGAGTGACAGACTCCGAGTAGACAGGGATGGTTGCAGCCCAGCCAGAGAGGACTGGCCTTTAAATCTCACTTCGACCCCATTCTACCCAGGAAGCCAGGGCGAGCCGTCTGCCAGCAGAGCCTTAGCTTCCCCTCCATGCAGGGGAGGGAGGAATCGCCCCAGCCCCTGTGCGCCATCAGCGAGCTGGCGTGCGTAACAGTGCCCAGCACCCAGGTGGTGGGCGAGGCGAGTGTTGCCTTAGGCCCATGGGGTGGGCAGCGCCCTGGGCCAGGGTACCGGGCCCCCGCTCCCGGCCCAGCGGTCACGGCCCCTCCGCTGGCCCCCACGCAGCGGCGGCATGGTGCTCCTGAGGGTGAAGGCCAAGGTCCGGCGGTACCTGCGGCAGCGGCGGACGGTGCCCGTCCTGTTTGCGTCCACGGTACAGCGCCACCCCGACAAGACCGCCCTGATCTTCGAGGGCACGGACACCCACTGGACCTTCCGCCAGCTGGACGACTACTCAAGCCGCGTAGCCAACTTCCTGCAGGCGCGGGGCCTGGCCTCCGGTGACGTGGCCGCCCTCTTCATGGAGAACCGCAACGAGTTCGTGGGCCTGTGGCTGGGCATGGCCAAGCTGGGCGTGGAGGCCGCCCTCATCAACACCAACCTCAGGCGGGACGCCCTGCGCCACTGCCTGACCTCCTCCCAGGCCCGGGCCCTCATCTTCGGCAGCGAGATGGCCCCAGGTGAGCCCCGAAGGGGTGGGGACAGGCAGGGGGTCCCACGGGACCTTGTACAGACCACAACCCCACCACCCTCCAGCCCCGGGGGAGGCCGTGGAGCTCAGAGGTTAAGAGCATGAGTCCTGGAGTCCGACGGCCTGGGCTCTGCCTCTGGTGAGCTGGTGATCCCGAGTAAGAGCCCGGAATTCTCTGTGCCTCAGTTTCCTCACCATAGTACCTACCTCAGACTGTTTTCAAGACGATGCTTCACCTGAAGCACTAACAGTGTGGCTGATGCTAGGTGAGCCCTCAGATTTCATGGCAACCATCCTCCTGACTAATCAGGCCTCGTTTCCACATCTGTAAAATGGGCTGATCCCGGTACCTGTGTCCTAGGGAGTGTGGGCAGGAGAATGCATGTAAAGAGCCCACTGTGTAGTTAGCCCGCAGCTAATGAGAGCTGTTGCACCCATCAGAGTCTTCCGTAGAATGAGGTCTTGGGCGCTTCTCTCCTCCTACCCAGCCAGCCTCCCCTGACAGACAACACGCCCAGCCCTGACGTGAGCAGAGTGCCTGGGGACACGGGGTTTCCTGGCTGCCTGCTGATCTGCCCTGTCTCCCCCGCAGCTGTCTGTGAGATCCACGCCAGCCTGGACCCTTCGGTCAGTCTCTTCTGCTCTGGTCCATGGGAGCCCAGCTCAGTGCCCACCAGCACAGAGCACCTGGACCCGCTGCTGGAAGATGCCCCCAAGCACCCGCCCAGTCGCCCTGACAAGGGCTTCACAGGTGAGCTCCCCACCCCCACAGAGGGGCTCTAAGGAGGCCAAGGACAGATCACCGCTCAGGGTCAGAGGCCTGGGTTCTTCTGCCCACTTGCCATGTGGCCTGGAGTGAGTCCTGTCACCTCCCTTCTCCATCTGGAAGAATGGGGACAGTAACCCTGGGGTTACCATACAGAATCTGTGAGCTGATGTGTAGGAAAGTGCTAGGCCTGGTGCCGAGTACACAGAGGCTCCCAGAATCCGAGTCTGATTGTTGAATGAGCCTTCGTGGAAGCCTGACCCCGGCAGGATTGTGTGGAGCCCAGGGACCTGCTGCTTCTGAATTTTGTTTGGAGTTGGGCCAGGGGCAGGACCCTTTAAATATTCATCTGGCACCTGTTCAGTTCAGGCCCCTATTGGGCTCCTATCCTCTCTCTGCACTGGGCTGCCTGCCTTCCCCTCGCCTCCTCCAGGCAGCCCCTCGGGCCCTCTTGCCTGTCTTCCTCTGCACTGCCTTGTGGAGCCCAGAGCTTGCTGTGTCTCCTGGTGGCTCAGAGTTTGGGCTAAGTTCATATCCTGGCTCTATCACTTCCTTTGTGTGACCCTGAACGCCCGAGCTTCCCTCTGAACCTTTGGTGCTCACAGCTATAAAACGGGGTGGTGCCCAGCCAGTGTGGCGCAGTGGATTGAGTGTTGTCTCCGTGCACCAAGAGGTCAGTGGTTCGATCCCTCTCAGGGCGTATGTCCCCGGTTGTGAGCTCGACCCCAAGTAGGGGGCGTGCAGGAGGCAGCCAGTCAATGTTTCTCTCTTATCAATGTTTCTCTCTCTCCCTCTCTCGTCCTTTCTACCTAAAAATCAATAAAAACTATTTTTTAAAAAAGCTGGGGGTGGTAACAGAGCCTATTTTGTGGAGTGACTTTGAGGATTGAAAAAGATGCAGTTGGAAGCTAGGGTGTGACCGGAAGGGCTCAGTAACTGGTCATTATCCTCATTATAGTCACTTAATCTCTGTCATAGGCAGGTCTTATCTCCTGGAGCTTTTGAAAGCCGCTTGAGGGCAGGGACGTGGGCTGGTTCAGCCTGTTGCCCTCATGGTGGGCAGCCTCAGGCTGGCATACAGCAGACATGCAGAGAACAGGAGACGCTTGGCAGGGAACATGCAGAGTCACCCCATGGTACTCCAGACCTCCTGGGACCTCAAGCCCCACTGAGCTTCAGGCAGAAACCATAAAGTGACAGTCCCTGGACTGGACTGCAGGGTGGGGAAAAGAAGCTGCCTCAGCACCCTGCTTCCTGCAGCTAATGCTCCCCATACTCTTCAGACTTGGGGAAGGCATCACCTCCTCTGGGAAGCCCTCCCTGATGCCACCTCCCTTCCCTGGAGCCTGGGTCAGGTGCTGCCCTTGGGCTTTGACAGGCCCTGTGCTTCCTGGCACTTTGCACTCAGTATTGAAATGCCTGTCTTTTTTTTTTTTAATTGATTTTAGAGAGGAAGGGAGAGGAAGAGAGAGAGAGAAACATCTACCAGCTGCCTTCTGCAACCCCCCCCCCCTTACTGGGAACTGAGCCTGCAACCCGGGCATGTGCCCTGATGGGGAATTGAACCAGTGACCTCAACCAACTGAGCCACACCGGCCAGGGCTAGAATGCCTGTCTTCACCTGCCGGTCCCATGTGGCTGCAGCCTCCACCAGGGCAGAGCCTGTGCCCACCTTAGTCACAGATGTCTCCCTGGGCCTGGCACAGCGTGAGGGCCCAGAACAAGTTTGTTGATGGGACAGATGCAGGCATTAGAGCAGGGAGTGGTGCCTGGGGCCATCGGAGCGGGCCTTCTGGAGGAGGTGTGATGGGAGTGGCATCGAATGTCCGTCTGACTCTGGGCTCAGCCCTGTGCCTCCCCTTCTCATGGACACTTACATGTCTTGTTTCCTTCAGATAAGCTCTTCTATATCTACACATCGGGCACCACGGGGCTGCCCAAAGCTGCCATCGTGGTGCACAGCAGGTAAGGGGCAGGTGCCTGGGGGAAGAGCTGGGGGTGGGGACAGGGCCCAGGAGCCTCCCTTCCTGCCTTTCCAGGGACCCACTGAGCCCTCCCCGCTCCGCCCTCCCAGGTACTACCGGATGGCTGCCCTGGTGTACTATGGATTCCGCATGCGGCCCGATGACGTTGTCTACGACTGCCTCCCCCTCTACCACTCTGCAGGTAACCCGGACCGCTCCTCGTCTCAGCCCCGAGGGCCTCAGGAGCCTGTCCCCCTTGGCAGGCAGCCTGTTGTGGTTGAAACAGATGAGCTTTGGAGCGAAGTTAGGGCTCAGATCCAGACGTGGCCTCTGACTAGAGCTCTGAGGGAGGGCAGCCACACCCATCCGATGGCGTGTGTGGGTGTGTGGCGGAGACCCACAGGGCACCTGGGCTGGGCTGACAGTTCAGTTCGTTTCCGCAGATGTGCACAGCCTTGCTGCTTGGTCTTAAGAACTTAAGGGAAGACATGATGGAGTAAATATAGTTCCCACCCTCACGGTGCTTAGAGTTGGGTGTGTGTTTGGGGCAGGATGAATGATGGGAACCCACCTCATGTGATACCAAAATAGTGTGGTGAGTGTGGGAGGGCCAGGGAATGGGAGCTCAGCTCAAGGGAATGGCCCTGCGATGGCCAGGAAGGCTTCCTGGAAGAGGTGCCCCCAAGGCAGGCAGATAAGAGATGCAGAAGCCAAGCGGGCTAGCTTGGTCCCCCCAGTTGAATGGCAGCATTATTGATGGTTATAGGAAGCAGGAGATTAATCCCATAGGCCCAGGGGAGCCATGGAAGATGTCTGACTAGGGGAGAGATAGGATCATTAGTGTTGGAGGTAGAGGGCAGGAAAGAGAGAGACCAAGGGAAAGGGCCTTTGGGTTGGGCAGGAGGAAGCTCTGCAGGGAGGGGTCTCCATCTCACTGTGGCCTTCAGGGAACATCGTGGGAATTGGGCAGTGCCTGCTCCACGGCATGACTGTGGTCATCCGGAAGAAGTTCTCAGCCTCCCGGTTCTGGGATGATTGTGTCAAGTACAACTGCACAGTGAGTGACAGGGAAGGGGACGAGCCTGCCCTGTCCCCTCGCGACCCTCCCACCAACCCCACCTGGAGATGTGTGTCTTACAGTTGAAGCAGCCATTGTTCAGATGGGGAGATTGAGGCCCAGAGAGGAAAGGGACTGCCTGGGAGGGTGG